GTTGTGTCTTATATAATGTATTAGGGATATGGGCTGGAATTACATGTTGTTTGACGTAGTCAGCTTGCAACTGAGCCATGTTCAAATCACATCCTCCTTTGCTATGAATATGTGGCATCTTTATGATTGAAGTAATTATTATATTCTTATTCAGGGCTGTGGATAAGGGGGTACCACCATTCCACCTGGACGGGGCCCAGGCCAGCAGGGGGGCCCAGGCAGCTGGGTGAATTGGATGTGGGCAGGAAGGGTGATCGGAACCGTGGGGGAACAATTACTGGAACTGGGCTCTCTCTGCAGTATTGGAAAGCTGGATTTCTCCTCTCCCTCCCGCTGGTTTTCCGCTGTAGCAGGGAGAGCCATACAGGGGATCGGTTCCAGTAATTGCCCCTCCCCCCTCCTCCCACCATGCCGATCTCCCTCCCTGTGCACCTCTGATTCACCCAGCTGTCTGGGCCCCCACAGTGCCGGTTTACCACCGGCAGCTGCAAGCACACAATAGGATCCTTCATGATGGAGTGCATGATTGCACAACGGATCAAATTCAAAATCCCAACACTGACGTACAAAGCTGTGCATCATACTGCCCCAAATTACATCACCAACCTAATATCCAAGTACCACCCAACATGCACACTCCGCTCCTCACAAGACCTCCTACTCTCCAGTTCCCTGGTCTCCTCCTCCCATGCACGCCTCAGGGATTTCTTCAGGACGTCACCCATCCTCTGGAACTCCCTACCCCAATCCATCAAACTATCACCTACTCTCCTCTCCTTAAGGCGCACCCTAAAAACCCACCTCTTCAGGGAAGCCTACCCCACCCCCTGCTAATTGCCAACCTCCTCCACTCCTCCTACCACCCCATCCCCCACAGCTATCTCCTCCTGTACCACTATCCCCTCCCTCCTAGATTGTAAGCTCAAAGGAGCAGGGCCCTTGAACCCCTCGTGTATCCCATTGTATTGTTATTGTACTGTCGCATGTTCTGTCTCCCTTTGTAATGTACAGCGCTGAGCGAACTGTTGGCGCTTTATAAATACTGTATAATAATAATGAAGAGTGGAGGAAGGGTCCGATAATTATGTCACATTAAAAAAAACCCTTACTTTCCTAAATGAACCCAATGAGTGATCGGTACTGATCACTCACTGTGTTCATTCATAACTGAAGCATAGTAAACTGTGTTTTTCTTTTGTTTCTTTTTAAGGGGGCCCTGTCAGGTTGGCTATATGGGGCCCCATGGTTTCTAACAGCAGCCATGTTCTTATTCATAATATTTGTGTTCACTAATGCAAAAGTCAGTGTATTGCCAAACTAAATTACAAAGTTTATGGCAAATTCTCTTTGCTATACTCAACCAAGCTGATCTTTTGTGTAGCCTCCTCACCTCCTGCCAAATGCTCTCTATTGCCAGTTCACACTTGCCTGCACACTAAACTGGAGCTGTGTGCAGGAAAAAGTTTCAACTGCGGTGAGCTAGCCGTAGGGGTGGTATGATGCATGGTTTCTTGTACTATACAGTTCTTTTTTTTTGCTAACTTTATTTGAAGTACAAAGTGTCACCAAATTGGAGCACGGTGCATTGTGCTGCTGTGCAGTGACATGCGGTGCCTTTCTGTGACCTGCAATAAAATGCAGCATGTCTGCATTTTATTGCAGCTCACTACACTGTACCTCCAGGCTGTATTGCAATGAGAGCGAGGTACATGGAAAACAGTTGTTTTCTATGTGCCCCAGCACTGACTGGCATTCTTCCAGTGCAGAAAAAACACTAGTCACTGCTTTAGTGTGAATGGGCCCTGAAGAGCAAATAAAATAATAAAAGTCCATATGTAATCTGCCACAGCATATGCTGAAAGGCAGGAAACCAAAGTTCAGAACTGTATAAGTCACTTTATTGTAGAAGTCACTTTGCAATAGGCCACTTGGGGAAAATCATGATGAATAATTATTGACATGATCATGTTCATCTTATGTGTGTAAAAGGATTCCCAGGTGGATGGGTCTCTAGTACAGGGAGGGAGAGATGTGTAGAGCACCTGTCAGCAGTCGACGGGTCAGCGTGACAAGCCACCAGGTCCCGCTCATCCATGGAGGGCTCCAGTGAAAGGTGGACCAAAGGATTTTCTAGTACAGGGAGGGAGAGATGTGTAGAGTACCTGTCAGCAGTTGACAGGTCAGCGTGACAAGCCACCAGGTCCCACTCGTCCACGGAGGGCTCCAGTAAAAGGTGGACCAAAGGATTCTCTAGGACAGGGAGGGAAAGATGTGTAGAGTACCTGTCAGCAGCCAACAGGTCAGCGGGACAAGCCACCAGGTCCCACTCATCCATGAAGGGCTCCAATAAAAGGTGGACCAAAGGATTCTCTAGGACAGGGAGGGAGAGATGTGTAGAGTACCTGTCAGCAGTCGACGGGTCAGCGTGACAAGCCACCAAGTCCCATTCATCCAAGGAGGGCTCCAATAAAAGGTGGACCAAAGGATTATCTAGGACAGGGTGGGAGAGATGTGGTGAGTACCTGTCAACAGCCGTTGATTAAGTGTAACCAGCCACCAGGTCCTGCTCATCCATGGAAGGCTCCACTGAAAGGTGAACCAAAGGAACTGTCGTAAGAGGACTACAGACAGCCATGAGAGGACACAAAATACCACCGACTAACCGCCAGCATAAGGAAAACTCCTCTGGTAAATGGATAAATAGGGACATGCAGGGGTCGCTGGCAATAGAAATGACACAGAGAACCAATACCAGCTGGATCTACACCAAGGAAAGCAACTAGGCGACAACATGTATCGAACGCCTCCCTTTTGCAAGTCACGGAGTTCCGGCAAGTCTCGCCAGAAAAGAAGCCACAGGGGATGCAGCCTGCAGCTGCATCAAACGAATCAGTGTCAGACAGTACTCTTCTGGGCAGGTACCCAGGCCCCCTTTGTGAACTGATGGCATCTGGACCCAGTACAGGAGGGCTGGCTGTACTGCCTTATCAGCGGCCCTGAATGTCATACAGAAAACTGATTGGCTTCTATAACTGCTTGACTGCTGTAGCACTTATGAATCAAGTCAGCTACTTCGATTCCTTTTTATCTCACGAGAATTCTGTCACAGTCTCATGCAGCTCCTAAAGTTCTGATAAAGGGGGAGTGTTTGCAACCCCCAAAACACATCGGCCATGGTATATTGTGGCATTTTGACTTCCTACATGTTTGTATTTCTCCCAGAGCACTCCTTGGGACCCCTTGGTGTACATGAGCCACCTAAAGCAGTGTATAATGCTCAGTACTTTAGACCTTGCCCTGTTTTCATGGACCAAAAAAGGCTAAGACCCAGCTGATCAATGACCCCACACACACACACCAGACAGCACTGAGCATCTGATCTTTTGCCTTGGCTCACACTTTTATCCATTGCACAGTGTCTCTGTGGAGAAATTCTTCTCAATATTAGACCCCAAGCCCTAATGACACCATCAATGTAATCAGAAGCAGGAGTGGGCAGATTACACATCAAATTACTGATAGGCTTCTATGAGAGGAACACGTGTTGATTTACTAAAGCTGGAGAGTATAAATAGTGGTGCAGCTCTGCGTAGAAATCAGCTTTGAGTTTTTTTTTTTTCAAAACGTAATTGAACAAGCTGAAGTTAGAAGCTGATTGGCTACCATGCCCAGCTGCACCAGATTTTGCACTCTCCGGTTTTAGTAAACCAACCTCACAGTGATCCTAGGCACATTCATCTGGGAGGAAACACTCTGCTAGATTTATATTCTAAACATACATTTTTGTTACTGATTGCTTTGTTACATTAAGGCCACGCTCACATTTCAAGTAGCGGGAACTTGTGTTTCCACTCCTGATTTTTCTTTTAGCGATTTACATGTTTTTCCGTGTGCCGCACAAGTTGAACAAGCCAGTGATTCTGCTCCACCTCCTCTAGGTGGCGCATAGTGGTAGATCCTGGCTGGATAATTGGTGAGTGTGTCTAAACTTCTTCCCTCTTGACAACTGCAGATGGCCCTCCCTCTGCTGCTCTGAGTCTCTTATTAAGGGCTAAGGCTACATTCACCCCGGTGATTAGGGGCGGTACTGATTGTAGCGGCAGTTCCTCCTGCAGCTGTCAGTGGGTACATGCAGCTGCTGGCCAGGGCCACTACAATGACAGGTCAGTGACAGCCGCACCTATTCATGGCTCTCTGTTCAGACAATAATTACCTGCGGTGATTGCTGCTGGGTGCACTTTGTCTGCATCTAGCAATGATCACCACACATAATCACTGGCTGTGCAAATATACTATATTATACTATATATTATACTATATTGCCAAAAGTATTGGTCGGCCTGCCTTTACACGCACATGAACTTTAATGGCACCCCAGTCTTAGTCCGTAGGGTTCAATATTGACTTGGCCCACCCTTTGCAGCTATAACAGCTTTAACTCTTCGGGGAAGGCTGTCCACAAGGTTTAGGAGTGTGTCTATGGGAATGTTTGACCATTCTTCCAGAAGCGCATTTGTGAGATCAGGCACTGATGTTGGACGAGAAGGCCTGGCTCACAGTCTCTGCTGTAATTCATCCCAAAGGTGCTCTATTGGGTTGAGGTCAGGACTCTGTGCAGGCCAGTCAAGTTTCTCCACCCCAAACTCACTCATCCATGTCTTTATGGACCTTGCTTTGTGCACTGGGGCGCAGTCATGTTGGAACAGGAAGGGGCCATCCCCAAACTGTTCCCACAAAGTTGGGAGCATGAAATTGTACAAAATGTCTTGGTATGCTGACACCTTAAGAGCTCCCTTCACTGGAACTAAGGGGTCAAGCCCAACCCCTGAAAAACAACCCCACATCATAATCCCCCCTCCACCAAACTTTACACTTGGCACAATGCAGTCAGGAAAGTACTGTTCTCCTGGCAACTGCCAAATTAAGACACGTCCACCAGATTGCCAGACAGAGAAGCGTGATTCTTCACTCCAGAGAACACGTCTCCACTTCTCTAGAATCCAGTGGTGGCCTGCTTTACACCACTGCATCCGACGCTTTGCATTGCACTTGGTTATATAAGGCTTGGATGCAGCTGCTCGGCCATAGAAAAACCCATTCCATGAAGCTCTCTACGCACTGTTGTAGTGCTAATCTGCAGGCCACACAAAGTTTGGAGGTCTTTAGCTATTGACTCTGCAGACAGTTGGCGTTGTCTGCGCAATGTGCGCTTCAGCATGCTCTGACCCCGCTGTCTTTTTACCTGGCCTACCACCTCATGGCTGAGTTGCTGCTGTTCCCAGTTGCTTCCACTTTGTTCTAATACCACTAACAGTTGACTGTGGAATATTTAGTAGCAAAGAAATGTCACAGATGGATTTATTACACAGGTGGCAACCTATCACGGTACCACGCTTGAATTCAGTGAGCTCCTGAGAGTGACCCATTCTTTCACAAATGTTTGTAGAAGCAGTCTGCATGCCTAGGTGCTTGATTTTATACACCTGTAGCCAAGGAGGTGATTGGAACACCTGAATCCAATGATTTGGAGGGGTGTCCCTATACTTTTGGCAACAAAGTGTAGGTGCGGCTGCCTGTCATTATAGTGAAAAGGGCCAGCGGTTGCACCTACCCACTGATAGCCACTGACAGCTGCAGGATGAACTGCCACTACAATTCACACAGGCCCTAATGTTGCCTAATTCTCACTGTACAGTATATGGTGACAGATGTTTTACTGCATTATAAAGAGTCTGACACCTCAGGGACATTCAGGAAACAATTGTTTCCTTTGTGTACCATTTACACTACAATGCAGTCTATGGCTGCGCTTCAGCGTGTTGCAATGAAATACTGACATGCTGAATTTTATCGTAGCGCCGAATCATACAGCAATGTACAGCAATGCAGCACGTCTTACTGAATGAAGTGTACTTTTTTTACACTTCAAATAAAGTTGGTATAAAAAAAAGAGAGCCGTGTGATGCGCTGAATTGCTTACCACACTTCCCCCACCACAACCAGCAATGCAAAGCTGCTGGTGTGGTGAATCATGTGAATACAGAGTGAAAAAGGCAGCCACCCCTCTGAAAAACAATACACATATGGATTTATTTTTAGAGGCATTTGTCAGGCAGTGAGAAAGCGATGTCGTCTCCTCACCACTTATTTTAACTCCCCAAATGCTGCATCACCCCACCACAACCACGTGCATTGCACCTGGTTGTGGGGAAGTTGCAGCATGGACCTATCAAATCTAATAAACTACAGTAATAATCTAATAACAAATTGAATATATCTATCAACTATTTATACTTTAATTCTTGAGAGTAGGTGTGTAAATTGGGGCAGGCATAAAGGGGCCCCTGTGCATTACTTTGCCCAGGGGACCATGATGCTATTAGGATGGCCCTGAGGAGGAGGTCCCCTAGAAATGACTCCTCTGGTCAGAAAATATCACATTCTTTTACATCCATTTCAGAAGCCACACGTTCTGACAGCCTTCACTAGTAGGCACCAATGTTTTCTTTGTGGGGAAGACATTCTCTGACCCTGTATGAATAGCTCTTTGTGCAAACCAAAAAAATAAATAAAATCCAGTGCATGAAAGTTCAGGTGGAAGATGGAGTGAGAGGCTGGGATGCAGGAGCCTGGCAGGGGGCACAGCGGGAAGAGGCCTACCTACAGGCTGGATCTGGAAAGGAGGATCGCTGAACCTCATCAGTCCCCAGAGAGATGACCACCAGTAGAGCCAGGAAAAGAGCCAGCAGAATGCCTGAAAGCAGCCATTTACCCAACAAGCCTGCAGGAGAGGAATAGTGAGTAAACCTACACCCTCTGTGCAGTCAAGGGGAGAGGGCATTCTGGTGGGAAACCTGACTAACCCCCATTTGGAATTGTGCATTTAAAGCAACAGATTCTGGGTCCCTTGCTCAGGGATTCCCTCATTACATCTGGATGAGAAGAGGATTTATCTGGGGTCTGGGGTGGTACACCAGGAGGGCTGGAGAGCTCTTCAAGAAGAGATTTTGCTGTTATGGACTTGTGCATAGTTGTTAAGGAGTTTCAGTTCCCTTGGGCATCCCATACACTCCTCATCCCTACCCAAGTTCAATACCTTAAAAAAAACAAGCTCAAAGACTGTTTACTGTCTCCAATGCGTAAGGTCAAAGAAAATGCATGTTGAGTGGCTGTGCAGGACCATAGGGGGGACCCAAAACTCATCAACTCCTAAGGGGGTAGTGCTAAAAAAATGTATTTGGTGAAAAAATGGTATTAGCTTGAAAATGAATACAGCCATCACATGTAAGGACTGGCAATCTGACCTATATTACATTTTTTTCTTGGGTCTAGTTATTCTGTAAAACCAGGCTCCAAACATATATATTTTTGGGAAAGGTGAGAAAGGCTATAAGATCTCTCTATTTTTATTGTTATTATTTTTTTCTGTTACACACTGAGCCTGGGTTCACATATGTGTAGGGCCAGTTTGCAGCGTGATTTCAATCCCCATCTGGTGCAACTTCGTTCAGCAGTTCTGGTGCGATTCAGGTGCAAATTGTTAAGTGTATGACATTAGATATCGCACCTGAACACCTGAAACGCACTGGACTCTTTTTGAGATCTTACTGCGTCCGCCCGCACATATGTGAACCAACTCCATAGAAAAGGCTTTTGGTTCACATGTCATGGAAATTGGATGCGATTCAAATGCATCCAATTGGCATATACTGTATGTGAACCAGGGCTGAAGCAAAGCATTTCACCACAAAAAGGCTGAGGATAACAACAACTAAAATATATATGTTGTGCAGTTCACTTGGTATCTCATTGTAGCTTTGTTTAATACACGTACTGTATATACAGAAATGTTGAATATTTTAGCTTTGTTTGAAGACAGCATGCTATAGTTTCTCTTTTTGTATCATGGTATACTGTTCTATGGTAGGAATTAAAAATGTGATTTGTTAGGGATACATCAGTATATCAACATATAGTAAAATACTCAGAGACCCTGAAAAAAAGAAAAACTTGTAGACCCGGATGAACTAGAATAACCAGTATGAAGTCAGAAGCTCCTACAGCATTCAATCAACACCTAAGAAAAAGAACTGGAGGGCTTCTGGTCCCTCATCAGCTCTACCTTCAGGAAATCTCTTGTTGACTGTCTGTCTCCAAAGTTCCCCGAGGGGGTGGTTTGACATTAGTCACCTCTGCTAGAATTTGACATTTTTATTGTTCCGCTGAGAACCTGGAATGCAGCTTTATTGCAACTCATTTTTAAAGTCTGAATACATGACCCTGATAATTTACTGAAGCACCTGTATTATCTAGGTACTCCCTAGAAATTTCACAGGGTGTTTGCAAAGGCTGTAATTCCTATCAATAACAGACCTGAAGCAGACGCCAGCAACTAAAACATGTCTTGTACACAGCCCAATATGTTTTGTTGGATAAAGAACAACATTCATGGTTTTGACTGGCAGACGTGTTTTCCAAGTAAGGCGCAGGGTTTCTGGCACCAGCCAACCAGGACATGGCACCCAAGCATGGGTTTGTAAACTATGAAGTTTGAAATGTGAGCCTACAAAGTTGCTCATGTCCCCACCCCTTAGTGCTTTAGAATGTTAAAAAAAGTTAATTGTTTTAAAGAGAATATCTTAATTTTATAAAGTCAATGTAATTCAAAATATCTTTAGCCAACTTTAAAAAGTGCATATGTCTAGCTAATCATTTCAGTCCTACTAATAAAACCTAATTGCATGGGAACAGTTAAAACCACTTGAGCTCCAAAAGGGTTTACCCCCATGACCAGAGCATTTTTTGCTATTCAGCACTGCACTACTAACTTGAAATTGCTTGGTCATGCAACGCTGTACCCAAATTAAATTGATAGAATTTTTTTTACACAAATAGAGCTTTATTTTAGTGATATTTGAGCAGCACTGTTTTTTTAATTATATAAGCAAAAACAAATCAAACATTTTGAAAAAATTATATTATGTCCTTTCTATTATAAAAAAATATTCAATAAACTCAAATTTTGCCATAAATTTAGGCCAAAGTGTATTTGACTACATGTCTTTGGTAAATAAAAATCCCAATGGCTTTATATTAATTGGTTTGTGTGAAAGTTAAAGCATCTAGTCTCTAAATGATATATATTCTGGAATTTACGCAGCTTTTACTTTCTGACTGCCTATCAAATTTCTTGAGGTGCTAAAATGCCAGGGCAGTACAAATCCCCACAAATGACCCCTTTTTGGAAAGTAGACACCCCAAGAAATTTGCTGAGAGGCATGTTGAGCCCATGGAAGTTTTATTTTTTGTCACGTTTTTTTAAAAAATTACAAAAAAATGTTTTTTCCTTTTTTTTACACAAAGTTGTCAATTTAATGGGGTATTTCTCAAACATGTTATGGGTATATGTAAAATTAAACCCCAAAACACATCCTTCTACTCCTCCCGAGTATGGGGATACCACTGTATGTGACTTTTTGGGAGCCTAGCCACGAATGGGATCCAAAAAAAATGACCACCTTCAGGCTTTCAAGGGGTATAATTTCCTCATTTCACTTCCGGACTACTTATCAAAGCTTAACAGGCCCTGAAATAGCAGGGTAGCACAAACACCCCCAAATGACCCTTTTGCAGAAAGTAGACACTCAAAGCTATTTGCTGAGAGGCATGCTAAGTCCATGGAAGATTTTATTTTTTGCCACACGTTTTTAAAGAATGGCAAAAAAATTTTTTACACAAAGTTGTCACTTTAATTAGATATTTCTCACACAGGCCATGGGTATATGTGGCAATACACCCCAAAACACATTCTGCTACTTCTCTTGAGTATGGGGATACAGTTAAATGCAAGCGCTGATCCCGCAAACTCTGCCTTTTTAGGTACACTATACTTATAAGGGGGATACTAGCATAGTTCTGTTTGTGATCAATATATTGATCCGTACAGACACTATACTAGTAATGGTGGTGATCAGTGACCTATAGGGGTTTATTTACTAAAGCTGGAGAGTCCAAAATCAGACTCCTTTCTGCATCGAAACCAATCAGCTTCCAGGTTTCATTGCCAAAACTTCATTGAACAAGCTGAGGTTAGAAGCTGATTGGTTTCTATGCAGAAGGGAGTCTGATTTTGGACTCTCCAGCTTTAGTAAATAAACCCCATAGTGTGGGTGCAATAGTGTACGGGAATCTAATGCTAACTGACCCTGGCTGGCAAGGACACTAACTGACCCTGATGCTATTGCAAGTGACACTAATACAGTGATCAGTGAAAAATACTGTACACTGACACTATGCTATGCTAAAGGCACTGGCTGGGTGACAGGAGTGATCAAAGGGTTAAATGTGCCTAACTAAGGTGTGAGTGCGTAAATGTACTGATTTTACTCACAGTATGGGGTTTACTTACTAAAGCTGAAGAGTGCAAAAATAGGCTCACTTCTGCATAGAAACCAATCAGCTTCTAACGTCAGCTTGTTCAATT